TTTTTATAATTCCGAATTATAAATTTATTTTTATCGAATCGATAGTTTTTTTTTTTTTCGAAAACAATATTAAACCGTTTTTGTATATATATTTTTAAAATTTTTTAAAAATAATTATTAACTATATTAACAGATTTTATGAACTCGTCTTTTGCTTGGCCCAATTATGATTTTTATTTATCTAACAACTTTACATGATATGAGTACAACACGTACACATACGATATATATATATATGTACTATGAAAACAATTATATGAACAAGAAAGGGATATTTTTTCCCGTATAAGTTTAAGAAAAAAAAAAAAATAGGTTATGAAAATTATGAAAATTTATGTTAAAAAATATCAAAAAAAAAAAAAAAAAAAAACCAATAAAATAATAATTATGCTAAAATGTTCAATAGTTATACGTTTCAATATCAGATATATATAAGTATATCAGTATTACTATAAATAATGATAATACTAATCGCACCATAAGTTTGAATAAATAATACCAGAAGCTTAGGGTATATTATGTTTAGTGAAAGAAGTTATACGCTATAAAAAAACAAAAAAACTGATGATGAAGTACCTAACTAAAAATTCCTATTATTTATAGCTAATTCAGTATACATAATGTTCATAGTATTCATTGTGTTCATTGTGTTGCATAGGCTCACCAAAAAGGTGCTCATTGCCAAAACCATAATTGAAATTACCAATATCGCCAAGAAGACTGACTTGTTCAGAATAAAAATTAACATATGGAGGCTCGTAAACTATAGGATAGAAGTATTCATAAGGTAGATAAGGTGAACTAGGTGAATAAATAGTACTCTTATCACTATTGATATCGATAGGATGTTCAATAACTGTTGCCAATTCATTTGGTTTTGTTGGTACATTCGGTTTCACTTGATGTTTCTTTGGTTTTGGTTTTTTAACGACTTCAGGTTTAATATTAGATTGATGTTGGTATAAATGAAATGTCTGAAAGATACATGCTATCGTCGTAACCTGGCATATACACGCTTGGGGTATATGGGTTGAACGTAAAAATTGATGGTACGTAAGTAGCATTGTACAACCATGCGTTCGCGTTTATGGATGGTATGGATGGTTCTAATGGTGTACACTGTTTTACTACGATTGGTGTAAAAGGTTCAATTTTATTGTTACTATTACCATTACTGGTGACATCAAAATTTACAAGGGTAGAAGAGTTGGCAGGGGCTGAATTTGTGAAATGTTTATCGTTATGTTGATCCTTAGCTTTTTGAGATCGTAATTTTTCATTTCTAGCAAATATGTATTCGTTTTCAACCTCTCGTGCAATTCTTCTATACTCGTTCTTAACTTTTGAAGGCTCTTGGTACCAGGAACTCGATGCCAATTTTGACACCTTGGTCATTTTCAATCGAAGGTTTTGCTTTCGGATTTCCCGAACGTAAACCTTTCTATAAATGAAGAACTCATTCAACATTTTTGGTGACTGAGCTTTACTATTTAATAGATCATTGACTAAATCTTTAGGATCTATACCTGGCGGGAATGGCAATTTTACAAGTGTTTCTTTTGAAGTTTTCATGTAATCAAAAGATTCTTGATTTTCAATAAAATTGTTACCATTCGATCTTGCTTTATTACAGTCTTCACAAACTTTTTCGGCTGAAAAATCTATTGAAAGCCTTCTATTGTCACTAATTGATGCCATCAGATTGTTATGAACCTTAGATTTTATTCTTATCGTATAATAGGGATTACGAAAAAAATCTTATTCACATAATTTTTGGCGGCAAGGATAAATGCCCTCTATTTATAATCTATCGATCAGATATTGATGCATATTGTGTCTTACTTGGTACTACGGCCTATTTCCACGGAGTTTTATACCGATGTAATGCGATTATGGTATGTTACAATTATATGCGGTGGCTAGTGGAGTGGCGTTAGCGGAGTCGTGAAAAATTTGTGATAAGGTACTAAGAAAATCGAAAACAACAAAGTTAACTATATTAACAACATAAACAAATAATAGATGCTTTGATGCTTTTTATATTAAATGCTGATTCGGTAAAACTTTATTAGTATTCAATATAATGGTTCTTTTATCCATAATTCCTTCATTATAACCAATATTGGTATTACAATCGGATTAATGGATTAATTTAAAAAGGTTTAGAATTGATCATTCAAAACCAAAAATTATTGTCATAAATGAATTCTTGATTAAAAAAAAGCCATGGAGATGTGATCCGACTAAAACGGTTTCATTAATCGATAATCGATTTTGGAACCAATTCTAATAATAGTTAGTAATGAAATAAAACAATGGTTTTAAGCAATCAAAAAGAATGCATAACAAAAATACAACAAATATTTTCTATTTATTTCTGGAAATTCTTTGATCTAATTTTATTAATAAATAAAGAATTTTTTTAATTCCCGAAACCTAAATTTGCTCCTAGCTTAATCATCGGAGTTTAATGCAATTTTACTTATAGTTTAATTTGTTAATGCATGAAAGAATGCTTAACATGAGCCGGAGTTAGCATCCGAAAAATTTTCGTGATCTAGTACTCACATACGTACGTACGTACGTATGTACATATGTACGTGTTTATATGTGAAACAGATAAATAGAGTGATATTCCGATATATCACAAATGACGTTACCATCTGCTGATCCTAAAAAGGATAGTTAAAGTGTGGTGATATGAATATCTTAAAAAAGATAATTGTAAAGAACAATATTTTATTATTCTAAATACTCTAATGTACTTTTTATTAACGGTGATATATTAATATTGTGCTTGTGTCAAATTTAATTTCAGGTAATAACCGATAA